TTAAAGGTTACATTGGGAATAGGATCCAATGAATATAATAAAACATAACTCGGGATGGGATGGATAACAGCGGAGCGTTATTTGAGTTCTTCAGTTTCCATCTTTCTTCATCCGAGATTGCAGACTCAAGGCACAAGCTATCCTCAACAAACCGCCATGGAACAGCCCTCTAAGCAGCTCATAGTGCTCCCAGGTGGTGATGTTGCCACGGATACTCGCCGGGCACTTGCTAAGAATATCAACGTTTCCACTATAAACACATCATCTATCAAAGACCTCACTACGAAATGCAGCCCCACACCTCTAACTTCCGCAGCAGGCGTTTACACCATCCCCTGTGGATTTTGTCCCAAGAAATATGTAGGCGGGACAAGCAGAGATCTTGCGGTCCACCTGAACGAGCATCGAAGTGCCTGTAACAGAGACGATTTAAGGTACGCCTGTGTCTTCCACAGAGACTCCACGAGATGAGGCACAACCCGTTCTCACCGAACAAGATCTTAGACGCCGACGGTGTCTAGAAGCCTCGCTAATTGCCGTCACCGACACAATAGAACGTAACACTGGAAGCCACAAAATTTCTAAAACATTAGCATACATGATACTCAACCAGGCAAAGCAGCATCTACCCAGCAACACAGGTGTGAGGGAAAAGTTCAATAGAAAGGAGTAGAGAGGGAGTGTATAGTAACAATAGTTTCATTGCCAGCTACTTGTTAAGGTAGGGTAAGTCAAGCTCCCACTATTCCCGCCTTTTTTCCCCTCCCAGAAAGTGATAGTTTCATTGCCGGCTACTTGTTAAGGTAGGGTACGTCAAGCTCCCGCTATCCCTTCCCCTCCTTCTTCCCCCCCCCCCCCCCCGAAAGGTGACGTGTGGGGCTCCGGTCCAAATAGTAATCACTAGACTCACAGCTCCCAGCACTACTGTAAGTACATGCCTGCCTTGTATTCTAGTGGATTTATTGGTTGAAAGCTTCACTTTTGACCAATAATAAACTTAGTCCTTTCAGTGTTGCTCTAGGTTGACTGTTGTGATAATCACCACATCTTTTAGGTATTGTACTTATCATGGAGAGTGATTTCTTAAGCAGTGGGTAACCTGTCTATCTTTCCAGCTTGGATGACAGAGAGGGTCACCTGCCAATCAATGAGGAGAACTGATGGAGATGGACTAACATCCTGAGACTTCCCCTTTTTGGAATTAGTTACCTGTGCACCTGTATGAAATTGCAGGATGTAACCCCTCATCATTGCAGCGGTAAAGAACCTGCTTTCCTGTCATCGGGATAGAATACTCAAGGCTATACTGTGAAGAACTAGCCAGTGGGTTGTAACCAACACCTGCGACCCCCCCCCATCATCGGCAACGGCTACGATTTCAACACTCAGTGTCACCAACACCAGACACCAGTATATATATATTAGCTTTGAATTCAGTTATCATTTATATTTTTCATTTTTCATTTTCTTTAAATGTAGGATTAATATTTCATATTTAAGTGTTTTATATTTTCTATATAATAAAGTGTTTATGTTTGTCTGCTATTATTTCTTTTTCTATTCACTAATTTTCCTGAGGAGGAGCCAGCCTTGGTAAAACTGTCTGAAGTTGTTACAGGGCTGAGTAAGCCTTCACAAGTGGCGACCTTGCCAGGATCAACTCTACTGAATCAAGATTCAACTCCATCTCGAATCTACCATTGGAACTTCAACGCCGCATACCACAGACGGTTGCCACCAGCCATGAGTAATCATTCTCTATGGTAGGACTACAGTACAGGTATTTAAAATATTTGGTGATTGTTATAGTCTCAATTTATTGTAAGTCAAGTCAAGGCAGGAATACTAGTTAATTCTGCCATCTACTTTTGTGTGAGCTTGAAACACTTTGGAGGATTAGACTCTAGGGACCCGAGATTTTCCAGTGACAATTTGTTTCATTGAGCTCTTTATTATATCAAGGGAACTGTCGGTGAGAAGATTGGATGGTCAAGGGACCCCATTCTACTTACTGTTTGCTCGGAGCCGGCATAGAACCCTTCGTTTTAATTAATACATATTGTTTAATTGAAGTAGGGATCGAGCCCTCTGGTTTATTTACAGTTTGAGCGGAGCAGGAATTGAACCCTCCGTTTTCTTTAATACCCGTTTCATTTCCCCTGATAGTTTAAGTTATTCTTGCAAGTATGGATGAATACCAGTTTTGGATGAATGCTGGAAGTAAGTTAGGAATAACTGGGAAAAATTTAGAATCTTTCATTAGTGCTAAGATCCAGGAAAGACTTGAAAGAGAGAGAATTGAGAGAGAAGAAAGACAGTTAGAAAGGGAAAGAGAAGAAGAAAAGGAGAGAGAGAGAATCGAAAGAGAAGAGAAAAAGGAGAGAGAGAGAATCGAAAGAGAAGAGAAAAAGGAGAGAGAGAGAATTGAGAGAGAAATCCAAGAAAGACAGTTAGAAGGAGAGAGAGAAGACAAAAAGGAGCGTGACAGACTTGATCGTGAGGAGAGAGCTAGAGTACGTGAAGAAAAAGTTAAATTAAGAGAACTTGAGGAAAGAGCAAAGGATAGAGAAGTTGAGGAAAAAGCTAGAGAACGTGAGGAAAAAGCTAGAGAATGTGAGAAAAAAGCTAGAGAACGTGAGGAAAAAGCTAGAGAACTTGAGTTAACAGAGAGAGAAAAGGATCGCGAGCTCAAAAAATATCGCCTTGAATTAGAGAATAGAAAGTTAACTCTTACACAACAACAATTAGAGGAAGGAGTAATTGAACATCATGCAGCTAGTGCATATATTCCAACACCTAATTTACCTCCCTTCACAGAGGGGGAAGACATAACTTCATACATTGTCAGATTTGAAAATACCGCTACTTTCTGTGAATGGCCTACTGACACCTGGGCTACCAGGTTAGGAATGTTATTTTCCGGTACAGCTTTGAATATCTATGCAACTTTGTCGCAGGATATTATATGTAATTATAACCTACTGAAGAAAGCAATCCTTAAAGCACACCAAAAAACCACTAATTCTTACAGGAAAGATTTCAGGTATGCCACCTTACAGCCTGGCCAGAACTTTCAGCAGTTACAGGTAACACTCTTTCGTTTGTTCGACTTTTGGATAGAGAGTTCAGGAATTGATCACAGTTAGGAATCTCTTAGAGACTTCATGGTTGCTGACCAGTTCCTGACAGCTCTTCCTCACCAGATACGAACATTCATTAGAGAACGTAACCTGATTAAAGCTGAGGAAGTTGCTGAGGCTGCTGACCTGTATGCTGAGGCTCACAATTCCTATAAAGACCTAAAGGGATCGAACCCTAATGGCAAGGGTTCATCAGACCTTAAGAAATCAAAGCCTCTAGTAGAAAGTAAAATGACTTCTTTTATTCCTGTTTGTCATTTGTGTGGTGTTAAGGGACATAAACGTCCAGATTGTCCTTCTAAGAAGGTCCAAAAAGTTGGAAGATGTTTTAAAGACTGTAATGACCAAGCACCCTTCTGTTCAGGAACAGTTAATGGACTTAATGTATCTACCATTTTACGAGACACTGGATGCACATGTATAGGCATTTCTGATAAGCTGTTCCCTAACCTTAAAGAAACTCAGTATTCAAATTAAATTCAGATGAGATAGACTATTCCATTTTAGTTGTTCCAAGTCAATGCAGAGAGACTGTTCTTAAAATGGCTCATGAGCTGCCAGTGGCCGGACATTTCTCGCATCGTAAAACCTTCAATAAAATTAGGGAAACCTATTTTTGGCCAAAAATGTCCTCAGATATCACTACCTATTGTAGATCGTGTAAAGTTTGCCAACTGTCATCCTCCCGAGGTACCAGGCGAGTACCTATGGTCAAAATGCCAGACTTTACGGTACCTTTTGAAAGAGTAGCTATTGACATCGTTGGTCCTTTATCTCCACTGTCAGCTGGGGGACATAGATATGTATATTAACATTAGTTGATTATGCTTCGAGTTTCCCTGAAGCCATACCCTTAAAGACCATAACTACTACAGAGGTGGCTGAAGCCTTTTGTCCATCTTCTCCAGAGTGGGCATCCCTAGAGAAATTTTGTCTGACCGTGGGACACAATTCACATCTGACTTAATGCAACATCTATACCAACTTCTGGGAGTGAAGCCTCTCTTCACCACACACTATCATCCCAGCTGTAATGGGAGGATTGAGCGCCAGCATTCGATTCTCAAGTCCATTTTAAGGAAACTTTGTTCCCTTAAACCTAAGGAGTGGCATCGTTACCTACCCTGTGCTTTGTTTGCCATGAGGGAAGTTCCCAGTGACTCTTTGGGGTTTTCACCTTTTGAACTTCTCTATGGTAGACAGGCCAGAGGCCCATTGTCCATCCTTCATGACTTATGGACTAATGAGGAGATGAGTGCTGAGGTTCAGTCTTCTTACCAGTTTCTCCTTGACCTTAGATCCAAACTTGAGGAGACCTCTGACATAGTTTCGAAAAACCTAAGCTTGTCAATGGACCAGTACAAAACCTATTTTGATTCCAAAAGTCAGAGGAGAAGTTTTAAAGTAGTCACATGATCTCATCGTCTACCCGTCCTCATCCCAACATAGCATTCTTCAGGTCACTCACACCTCATTCTCCGCCTATATATGTATAATGTCTTTCAACCTCTGTATGTTAGAAGTGACCAAGGTCCCAGGACCGAAACGTTTTCTAATAAATATGGTATAGTGTTTGCTTATGTGTCTTTCTAAACCAATTGTCGGTATTTATTGCTAAGGTTTATACCATTTCTATGATTACAATATAACATTTAATTACACATTTGTTTTCCCCTGCCTGGTCATGGATAACTAGATTGTAGCTTTGACTCTCACTGGAGAACCTGGAATAATAGAGTTGACTTCTCTGTTGATCATTTTCTCTATTTGTACATTTGCTTATATACATTTGAGTAAGGTGTCGTTTATTAATGTTTAGCGACGCCATTCAGATCTAATCTCATTTTATTTCGTTTTCAGACACTATGAAATAGTGGTGAACTTGAAGTTGATGAAGCACACAAGTCTTGATAGATATATTGATGTTCATCTGTACATGAGCTCCTAAACTTTGCTCGGCGCTACATTTAAAAAGGCTACAAACACTGAAGCGAGACGTGGCCATTAAGCTCCGTTCATCTGCCAGGACATTTAGTTCCAGTCAACATGGAAAATCATCGATCGCACAATCAGCTTGTGAAACTTGAGCGTATGTGGGATGCATACAGTAGCGGGTCTGTGATCGAGGATCTAAGGCGGAGAGAGCCGTCTCTCACCCCCACACACCGCAATAAACCAGTGTATTCAACTGATAGATGGGCGAGCTTGCCAGCTGCCAAGACTACACATAGAAGACCAAACAGTAGCGATGACAGTGACAGCCACTCTGACAGCTTCGGAAGCAGCACGGGAACAAGTGTCAGTGAAGGTAGCAATTCTATTGGATGCTGTTCTTGCTTGTATCATACATCACGCCGCTCTTCCGCTGAGAGACGTAAGAACAACGGAGCGGTGTTGTCCGCCATGCCCCACCATCGAAAACGATGGTGGCACTGCTTGTCCATGGCAGACGACACAGCCATATTCTTCCTCCTGGGAATATTTACCCTCACATACATGTTGCTCGGCTCACTCATTTTCCAGGTCTTGGAACAGGACTACGAGAAGCATCAGAGGACCGACTTACAGAACACATACAACAAAATGCGCAATAATATGACTGATTCGGTTAACAAGAAAACAGTGGAACTTTCTGAAGTTTACGACCTTCTCTACGCGTGGGGCAACATGTCAGCTGCATTATACGCTCCTAGTGACCGAGAACTCTGGGATTTCTTCGGCAGCTTTTACTTCGTTTTTGAGGGTATCTTCACTCTGGGTAAGTTGCAGAAAATACTTTATTATATACTCCTCTTGTTACCATAGGTTATTTAATAATAATAATAATAATAATAATAATCCTAGGTAGTAGGTTGGTAGACAGCAGCCGCCCAGGGAGGTACTACCGTCCTGCCAAGTGAGTGTAAAACGGAAACCTGTCATTGTTTTACACGATGGTAGAAGTAGCAAGGTACGTCTTGCTACTTCTACCTACACTTAAGTCACATTACACAGGCATGTACGAGCATGTATATACACACCCCTCTGCAGTTTCTTCTATTTTCTTACTAGTTCTTGTTCTTGTTTATTTCCTCTTATCTCCACGGGGAAGTGGAACAGAATTCTTCCTCCGTAAGCCATGAGTCGTAAAAGGCGACTAAAATGCCGGAAGCAAGGAGCTAGTAACCCCTTCTCCTGTATATTGGAGAAAACTCACACTACTAACAATAGATTAGCTGAGGTAAATGAACATCTTAATCAATTAAAAAACAAAATAAAAAAGAATTGAATGAAATAACTGAAAACGAAATGATATTAAAAAATGAGGAAACTGCGTTGAAATAATAATAATAATAATAATAATAATAATAATAATAATAATAATAATAATAATAATAACAAAATTATTGTTAAATACAATAGAAGTATGTGGATAATTCACTGGTGTGTAATAAGGGGAAAAATGCGGTCAGTATTGGCTATAGAAGAGGAGGTTCATATACACTTTCAGTGTGAACCATTGTTTTGATGGGTTGGTTGGGTTTAGTGTGGAAAGAATAATAATGTGAGTTTGGATTAATAATGAGACTCTCAGCTAGGAAATGTCAGTGTGTTAAAGTGTTAATAATCAGGTGGCGAGCATGGTGGCGAGCATGGTGGCGAGCATGGTGGCTAGCATGGTGGCGAGCATGATGGCGAGCATGGTGGCTAGTATGGTGGCGAGCATGGTGGCGAGCATGGTGGCGAGCATGGTGGCGAGCATGGTGGCGAGCATGGTGGCTAGTATGGTGGCGAGCATGGTGGCTAGTATGGTGGCGAGCATGGTGGCGAGCATGGTGGCGAGCATGGTGGCTAGTATGGTGGCGAGCATGGTGGCGAGCATGGTGGCGAGCATCGTGGCGAGCATGGTGGCTAGCATGGTGGCGAGCATGGTGGCGAGCATAATGGCTAGCATGGTGGCGAGCATGGTGGCGAGCATGGTGGCGAGCATGGTGGCGAGCACCGTGGCGAGCACGGTGGCGAGCACCGTCGTGAGCATGGTGGCGAGCATGGTGGCGAGCATGGTGGCGAGCATGGTGGCGAGCACGGTGGCGAGCATGGTGGCGAGCATGGTGGCGAGCACCGTGGCGAGCATGGTAACGAGCATGGTGGCGAGCATGGTGGCGAGCATGGTGGCGAGCACCGTGGCGAGCATGGTGGCGAGCATGGTGGCGAGCATGGTGGCGAGCATGGTGGCGAGCACCGTGGCGAGCATGGTGGCGAGCATGGTGGCGAGCACCGTGGCGAGCATGGTGGCGAGCATGGTGGCGAGCATGGTGGCGAGCATGGTTGCGAGCACCGTAGCGAGCATGGTGACGAGCATAGTGGCGAGCACGGTGGCGAGCATGGTGGCGAGCACCGTGGCGAGCATGGTGGCGAGCATGGTGGCGAGCATGGTGGCGAGCACCGTGGCGAGCATGGTGACGAGCATGGTGGCGAGCATGGTGGCGAGCATGGTGGCGAGCATGGTGGCGAGCATGGTGGCGAGCATGGTGGCGAGCATTGTGGCGAGCATCGTGGCGAGCATCGTGGCGAGCATGTGGCGAGCATCGTGGCGAGCATTGTACCATGATATGTGACTCAGTTCTGTTTCCATGAACAACCAGAGCAAAGGAAGGAAGATAAGAACCTTAAAAGAGGTCCGATAGAAAAGTATTTGTTGGTTACTGATCCTGGCCAGTAATGTTTAAAAATTTTTTTTTTCTCTTTTTCCCTGTTTGTGTGTGTGTGCTCACCTAATCGTGGTTGCAGGGGTCCAGTCATTGCTCCTGGCCCCGCCTGTTCACTGGTCGCTACTAGGTGACTCTCTCCCTGTTCCTTGAGCTTTATCATAACTCTTCTTTAAGCTATGTATGGTACCTGCCTCCACCACATCACTTTCCAAGCAATTCTATTTCCTGACAACTCTATGAACTTCCTAACATCCCTGTAACTCATCTGAATCTTCAACTTTCAACTGTGACCCCTTCTTGCTGTGTCCCATCTTTGGCACATCTTGTCTCCATCCATGTTATCGATTCCTATCAGTATTTTATATGTCGTTATCATATCCTCTCTATCTCCCCTGTCTTCCAGTTTCGTCAGGCCGATTTCCCTTTACCTCTTCTGGTAGCACATGTCCCTTAGCCCCGGGACTAGTCTCGTTGCAAACCTTTGCACTTTTTCTAACTTTGCTTGGCTAGGTGTGGGTTCCAAACTGGTGCCGCATACTCCAATGTGGGCCTGACATACACGGTGTACAGGGTCCTGAACGATTCCTTAATGAGATGTCGGAATGCTATTCATAGTTTTGCCCGGCGCCCATATGCTGCAGCAGTTATTTGGTTGATGTGCGCCTCAGGAGATGTGCTCGGTATTATACTCTCCCCAAGATCCTTTTCCTTGAGTGATGTTGTAGTCTCTGGCCCCCTAGACTGTACTATGTTTGCAGTCTTCATTGCCCTTCCACAATCATCACGATTTTGCACTTGGTGGGATTGAACTCATGGAACCAGTTTCTGAGCCAGGCCTGCAGTCTGTCCAGATCCCTCTGTAGTTCTGCCTGGTCCTCGTCCGATTGAATTCTCATAAACTTCACAACGTCTGCAAACAGGGACACTTTTGAATCTATTCCTTCCGTCTTGTCATTCACAGATGCCAGAAACAGCACTGGTCCTAGGACTGACCCCTGTGGGACCCCGCTCGTCACAGGTGCCCACTCTCACACCTCGTCACGTACCATGACTCACTGATGCTTTCCCTTCATGTATTCCTTGATCCATTGCAGTGCCTTTCCTGTTATTCCTGTTTGGTTCTCCAGCTTTTGCACTAAACTCTTGTATGGAACTGTATCAAAAGTCTTCTTACAGTCCAAGAAAATGCAGTCTACCCACCCTTCTTTATTCCATCATTCTTCTAATAAGCTTCTCCATGACTTTGCAAACTATGCATGTCAGTGACACTGGTCTGTTGTTTAATGCTCCAAGTCTGACTTCTTTCCTAAAAATTGGGACTGCATTTGACGTTTTCCACTCCTCAAGTAGTTGCTCTGTTTCGATAGATATGCTGAAGATTGTTGTTAGTGACGCACACAGCGCCTCTGTTCTCCCCCTCTCAGAATCCATGGAGAGAGGTCATCCAGTCCCACTGCCTTTGAGGTGCTAGTTAGGTTAGCAGCCTCTTCACCTCCTCCTCGGTTGTGTGTAGTGTGTACAGCACTTGTTGGTGCACCTTACCTTCCCAGTTTACTGGGGTCCTTTCTGTCTCCACTGAAAATACTTCCATAAATCTCGTGTTGAGCTCTTCACATATTTCTTGCTCATTTCCTGAGATCCAATTCTTTCTTTCCTCAGTTTGATTACCTGGTCATTGACTGTTGTATTCCTCTTGATGTGGCTGTACAACAGCTTTGGTTCAGATTTGACTTTTGATGCTATATCATTTTTGTTTTGCTGCTTTAGTAAATTTATTCAGGTATACACTAATACAGTTACATAGATTATCATACATAGCCAACTCATCCTGCCTGCTGCCTTCTGACACTCCCAGCTCCTGCCGCTGCCTTCGCCATCCTCTCCCAGTGAGCCAAGCAATGACATCAGTCAAGCCTCTCTATCTACGTCTCCAGTACTTTTGTACCACATGTCCCAAAGTGGTTGGGCCACTTGCCTTGATTCCTCCTCTTCCCCTCCTCCCCATCCTTTTCCAGTTATTTCCATCCTTCCTTATCCTTCTTCCTTCCCATCTTACGACAGCTCTCGTCGTCCTCGAAGAAGAAGCAGCATATGTATAGAGAACCTAGGATAACCCCAAAAAAGTCAGAGAGACTTAACTCCATTGGGATTCTTTATTTCCATTTGAGTCCCTCATTATCCATGCATATGTGTTTCTGGTAGTTCGGCTAATCTCCTTATTTTCCTGGGGTCCTTTGTCTTCCATACTTTTTAGCTTCTCTAGTGCACTTAGATTTAGCATTTGTACACCTTTGGATGAACCAAGGCCTCGTTCTAGTCATCCCATTGTTTCTTTAGCCCTTGGATACAGTCCTTTCCTCTGCCTCCCTGCACTTTGTGGTCACGTGTTCCATCATTTCATTTTCTGTTTCTCAAACCAGTTCTCTTTCTCACCGCATCTCACGCTGCATCACTCTCCACTCTTAACTTCAGAATATATTGGAAGCTCAGGACGACGTGATCACTAGCTCCGAGGGTCCTTTAATATGATATATCCCCGATGTCTGAACTATTCAAGGTGAACAAGAGGTCCAGTCTTGCTGATTCATCCTCCCCTCTTCTCTCTCTCTGGTATATCCTTAACATGTTGATACATGAGGTTTTCCAATACAGTCTCCATCATCTTAGCCGTCCAAATTTCTGGTCCCCCATTTGGCTCCAGATTTTCCCAATCTCCTTGTGATTGAAATCACCCACAACCAACAACTTTTCCCTTCCCATGTGGGTCCTTCTGGTCACCTTGGCTAGTGTGTCAACCATTGCTCTGTTACTCTCAGCATACACATGTCTTAGTCTCCTGCCATTCTGTGGTGGGTTATACAACGCTGCAATAACCACCCTGGGACCCCTTCCCCCTGTCTTAAATGTCCCTATTATGTAGTCCCTTGCTTTCGTTTTGTCCATTCCTTCCAAATACTCATAACTCTACTGGTTTATGATGAGCAGTGCAACTCTTCTTCCCGCTCTGTCCCCGCTATATTTCCTCGGGGGCTGATATACAGTTGGAAAGATCGCATCTGTTATCATT